CCTAGAAAGGAACTTACTTCTTTCCCCGATGTTGGTGTTGGCCATTCTAAGATACGTTCTACCTTGTCTCCGGACACCTTCACTCCATCGGCACTGACTATGTGTCCCAAATATTCTACTTCCGTGCACAGCAAATTACATTTCTTTCCCTTAAGTTTCAGTCCATATTGCGTTAACCTTGTTAGAACCTTCTCTAATTTCTGTAGGTGTTCTTCTAGGGAGGAAGAAAATATTAATATATCATCGAGATACAATACAATGTCTACGAGGTTCATGTCGGCAAATATGAAGACCATCACCCTCTGGAACGTGTTTGCTGAATTGCTTAACCCTTGAGGCATCCTCAAATACTCGTACAGGCCCCATGGTACACGGAAGGCTGTCTTATCTATGGAGTCTTCGTCCATCACAACTTGGTAATAGCCGTGGGCTAAGTCTAGCGTGGAAAAGTATCTTGCGCCTCCCAACACATCTAAAACTTCGTCAATTCGCGGTAGAGGAAACGAATCTTCCACAGTCACTGAGTTTAACTTCCTGTAATCAATGCATAAGCGATGAGTCCCATCCTTCTTAGCCACGATGACAATTGGACTTGCGTAAGCACTCTTGGAAGGGCGTATTATTTGTTGTTCTACCATTTCGTTAATCATTGCCTTAACCTCTGGAATTTTCTGTGGATGAATGCGTCTATATGGTTGTTGGATTGGTTTCTCAGCAGTCAATTGTATGGTATGTGGAATTAGGCTGCATTCGCCAACATCATAGGCACCAGTAGAAAAAGCTTTTGGGTATTTACTTACACATTCGACGACTTGTGCCTTTACATCTTCCTCTAGTCTGCTTAAGTCAAGTCCAGGAGCTTCTGTCGTACACACCTCAGCAACATTATTAGTTTGAACAGTCGATAAAGTATGCACATCACTACTCGGCGTTACTATCACTTCATCAACATGAACTTGCAGTCCTCCGGATACTTCGACTAGACCCACCCTTTCTTCACTATCTACAGGTAACACTTTACCAATAACAACTTGTTTCTTCAAGTTTATTTGTCGGCCTTCGGAGTTGGCAACCATCACTTGGACGAAACCGTTTTTTACAGAGTCACATCCTTCTAACACCTCCAGTTGTGTTTTTGTCTCAATAGGGCTTACTAATACGGTACCTTTAACATCCTGTACTTGGCAGGTTATTCTCCTAACACTGTAGGCGGGCACTGTAACTTCATCAGCCACCTGCAACTCTCCGACAAGGCCATTTTGGATGGATTTGGGTTGTTTAGGTTCGGGAATGTCTGCCAATAAGCCTCGCACAAAATTCCAAGCAAATTTATCGGTTTGCGGGACTCTTAAATTTGTCAAACTTCTTAAAATGTTGCATCCCAGCAGGATTGGATGTTGCATGCTTCTCTTGCCTGTATTACTCTTTGTGATCAGGAAGCTTCCAGTCAATGTGGTAGTACCATATTCCATAGGCAGCTCTACATAGCCTTGAATTTCTACTGGTTCACCATTGGCACCATATATATCAAGATATGTGACTTCGGGTATCTTGCCACCTATTCTATGTTTAATCTTCGTCTCATAGACATCTGCAGGGATGAGAGAAGTCTCGGCACCGGTATCGATAACACATCCTAATTCTACGCCAGCGAGAACGATGGAGGCTGTTGGGCTGCTTGCTACTAACTTGTTAGCTACGTCGGTATCCCCATGCACTCCACGAATACACACTTCGAATGAAGAACTTGCAGCAGATGTTGGTTGACTCGCAAGCTTCGGACACTCATTTCTAAAATGTCCAGTCCCCTTACAGTACAGGCATCGAAATACACCACGACAATTTTCCTTGCGGTGTCCCTCTTCTAAACACTTATAGCAAACAAGCGGTTTGTTGGATCGGTACTTCGGTTTGGCAACCTCATTTTGCCTATCGACTTTAGCTCTTAATTCTTGTAATTCGGCTTTCATTGCTTCCATTTCTTTATCTTTACTACCATTAGAACTAACCTCGTGTATTAATACTTTCTTCTTCATTTCTGTGTGCTGGAAATATTCTAATGCCTCTTCTCTCATTTCTTGGAACGTCTTTCCCTTATACGCCATCTCCATCCTCCTCAGTTCTCTCTGGACCCATTGCTCTCTGGCACCTCGGGCAAACCGTTCCTTCAGCGCATTATCCTGCAGGCTCTGTAACGCGTTTCTTTCCACGTCGTTAGCAGCAGCCTTAACCATCTTTTGGTAGATCCTCATCAAAGATCGACTGAAGTCTCCCAACGATTCACTATCCAGTTGATTCCGACTATGGAATTCTTGACTCAGAGATTGTACGGTGTTAATGGGAGCAAATAAAGCTTCTAATTTATGTACAATTTTCCCGTAGTCTTTTCTTACATCGTCCCCATAACACAATAGTTCCTCTTTCGCAGCACCACCAAGATGAGCGAGTAATGAAGCGGATTTGTTTTCTCCAGTAATATTGTAGTGGACTGCATATGTGTTGAAATCGTCCAACCACTCTTTAAGGGATGGTTCACCCGCTGCTTTAGAACCTCTAAACTTGTTCAGCTTAACTGGGGGTGGTCCTCGCTGGGCTGTGAGGCCTTGCAGGGCTGACGTTAAAGCCATTATCATATCATTTACTTCAGCCATTCTTCCAAGTTTGCAGTCAGTTCACAAATGGAATGCTGTATACTATGATTTTGGGAAGAAAACTATGCACACAGTATGATGGTCAATCAATTAGAACAATAGCATTAACTTATAATATAATCAACCATAAAAATATAAAAATACTGTATAAATGTAATCTCAAAAATAAATTAATTTAGCAACCAGGGGTCTTTTATAAGCACCTCAGCTCTTAGCACCAGTCTCGCTGTTTCATAATATCACCTCAGCTTGTACTATAGCACCAGCGTTCGATGTCTGTCGTTGTGGCTCGAAGTAGTAGTTCTCTTGCAGTTGTTATCCCACCGCTGCCACCATTTTGTCGTGAGTCAATGAGCCAAAGAATGAACTAAGACTTGTATACGTTGTATAACGTTTATTAACTGCAACGTCAATTGTAACTACAAAAACAACCCCTGAAACAACAGAGAAAATAAAATAGGTAAGGTACATCAAAGTTACCTCTTACAAGTCCAAACAATATGTAGCGAGCGGTAAGGCCTCAAAAGTCTACTTTACATAAGGTAAATTAACTGTTTAATTAAATCATATTCTCTTATTATAAATTGCAAATCTCAAATTACAGCACGTCTAATGTAACGTCAAATTATATCTTCTCATGGGTACGAACATAATAAATTGCAATATCTCTCAGTATATAAATCTCAATTGAAATCCTCTATTAGTATTAACCTCAATAATTACATGAAATCTATCAGTTCTCATATAACATACTCATATTCATTAAGAATGTTGCATCTCAACATTAACTCTCAAATAATTAGACACTGGCAACTCGAACCATGTCTCTCAATATTAAAGATTTACTAATTCTCAACCTCGAAATAATAATCATATAACAATCACAATACTGTACCTGCGATGCCCTCAATGGTATACACCAATATCAACACTGTAATTATATCGCACGATACAGCCAATCACTGTCGGGATCGCCGACATCGCTGACACCATGTGAATCTCCAGTCAACTGCAGACAACAGTTACTCTTCAGAAGTAACCAGAATCAATCAGTGTCTCTACACATACGTCTTGCCTCATGCAAAACGGAGCCGCAACTGCCTTGTGTTCGCAAGTCGCGCGCTAAGCCACAGAACAGAGACGCTCTACGAAAAATCACTGCGCTAATAAACAGCACTCACAGAATAATCGAGCAAGTAACAGAATAAAAAAGTAGTTCTAAGTAAATAAACAATAAAATTCGGTTCCCGACATTTGTAAATTTGCATTGGTGGCGCCAGCGTTGGAAAGTGAGGGCATCCCCCACCCCGTTGGACAAGACTGGACCCCCTGTCGTTCAACGCCATGATGAGGGCGTTAGACTACCAAGTCTCTAGTCGAAAACAGACCTCTCCTGTCTGCAAATTTCTGGAGCCACCGCTGTAAATTTGGGCTGAAGCTATCAGCACTGCCGCAGTGCGAAAAAAAGCTGCTGTTTTCTATCGGCATGCCGCAGTGCCAGAAAGCTGCTGTTTTCTATCGGCACTGCCGCAGTGCGAAAAAGCTGCTGTTTTCTATAGGCACTGCCACAGTGCGAAAAAAAGCTGTTATTTTTCTATCTGCATTGCCGCAGTGTGAAAAAAGCTCCGATTTTGTATCGGCACTGTCACAGTGCCGTATAAATAAATGCACCAGCATGGAAACTTTTGCGCAATCAATCACTCTCTATCGAGTTCAGCAGGTATGTGCTGTCAGACAACCCCATGCACAGTGACCACAGTACACTGATATGTGTGCACATATCCATTGACGAAACCCCTTCAGTAGACTTACTCTTTTAATAAAGTACAGTTTTTGTGTAGACAACATTTGACACTTTTGACGTGTACAGTACCTGGTTTAATCATCATTGTGTAATTTACAAGATATACTGTATGAAATTGTATAATCCTGTTGTCTGTAATTGACATGAAACAAAGTATGCTGAAAACTGAACTTAGGGCCTAGGCCTATAATATTGAGTACATGCAACAAATAACTACTTTAATGTGTTTGGTAGATAAATTTAGAAATAAAAAAACTAATGTCATTGTAGCCTTTCCGTTAAATTGCAAAGTTACATAATGCCATACAAAAATACACAATAATACAATATATATGCAATACATTATTAACATTATTAACATTAGGGCTTAGGGCTCTGCAACTAAATGCGTGCTTATTCGCAGAGTTCCTTTTTCACGAATTGATCATTTCCTTGTACTTATATTCTCTTTATTATTATGAATTATCATCATGTACTGTACAAATTGTTATATTATATGACAAAAGTGAAATAAATATTCCTTGACTTGAACAATAAAATAAAGCTAAAGCTGTTTAAATAATTTTTTAAAAATCATTAAAAATCAATAATAGAAATTAAATTAGATTTAAATTATAAGAAAAGGAGAAATACCTGTAAAATGAAATTTAAAAAAAAATTGTCAACCTATATCAACAATTTAACATTAGCAAATATGAGTTTAAAAAAAGACAAACTATCGATACAAGTATAAAATAAATGCCATTGAAAATAATGGAACCTATGATACAATTTATGATTTTAACACAAAAAGGACTTGCAAGTTATTTATTACAGTAATTATTGGATGTCAATTTCGTGGTAGAGATATAGACACAGCTGCTAGCACATTTTATAATTGGAAGTCTAAAATTATGTTTGGTTAAAAAATAAGTCATCACAATTGTTATCTAATTTTTGTTTTCATTTCTTGTTGAACATTACTGTACAACCTGTTGTGCAAATCATTGTGATGTGTTCATCGATTATGGATATTGTTCCATGAGGTGTTTCTACCCGTAGGCCTACCATGGAGGTATAAAAATAGACAACTATTTTTATACTTCCATGCCTTTACCAATTTTCCTGATTTCTAACCATCATTTGGGACATATTCAGGCCTATCTATGGTAATTGCTCTTTAAGGCCTATCTATGGTAATTGCTATTTTAATTGAATTATAATCATAGCTTCCGTAATTTATTGCCCATGCAAGGTCAGCTATACTAAGGGTAAGTTCACACATGGCGTAAAAACTAGCGTAGCCTACGCTAGCGTAAGCTAATCCACGGATTATGATTCCAAAGTGTTCATGCAAACGTCGTTTGCTATATTAACGCTGGCGTTAAACTAGTAGTAATATAGGTCTATGGGGAATAGTTTTAAATAATGTACGGGTTCTTAACTGTAGAAAAATATTTACAGTGCATCATTAACACTTTTAAATCTGTGAATTGTTCGAAGTGAACTCATATGATTATTGTATTTTAAATGAACATTTTTACTTCTGATTTTTCAGCTAGCATTGTGGAACAATTGTCGGTGTTGCAGGTTTAAATAGACGTGTCTAAATAGGTTAAAATATCTTACAAAACACAATCAACAAATCATATATACATTGTAAACTAAGTAAAATGCAATAGATAAAAAGAACCACTTTACCATTTCATTTATAGTGCAATCTTACGTGATTGGTCAGTCTCTTGAAATGAGGTCAAATTATTCAAGCATCACTGGCGTTAGCTCCGTGGCGTTAACTAACGCTGTGTGTGTGAACATACCCTTAATACCATACTATAGGTAGGCCTATGTGATTTTTATTGACAATTGCAGGAAAACTAACTACAGATTCGGCTGTCTATTTTGATAATTGCTGAAAATTGTGGTAAAGGGAAGGGCAACAGCATGCATCGATTAATTTAATTAATGTTTTCTCTATTACAAGCTATTCTCATTTTGAAAAGTAAATATCCTTCTCATTACACCAAGAAGGCCTAGTAGACTTTCAATGATATTTATAAACATGTTCATGGACTCAAGATAAGCAGGAGGATCATTAAATTCTTTATATATGATCTTCATCTTTTTCACAAGAGTCAGTACATTGTCTGTGTCCCCCTCTTTAAGTAATACTCTGGCTTTTATATAATAAACCAGTGCAATTGGTGATACGTAAATATGCATTTTATGGCAACAAATGACAAGATGATGCAAAAGTTCATCAACTTCCCAGGCACAAACGTTTGATTCAAAATGTTTTTGTTCGAATTTAAGACTAGAGAGCACATAGTTTTTGTTTTCTGTAACTGTAGTAAGAATAGACTCACACATCTTCTTCAAACCTTCGTAGTTACCCATTAAATAATGGTATTGTACTTCAAGAACCTCACCAACTATGCCATAGTCACTGTACCTACCAGGGAAGATAATTTCATATCCTAAGTCATAGTAATGCAAAGGATCATTCATGTACGAAGATACAGCTGTTTCATAACCTCTGTTTATAAAGCTTACCAATAAATGAGTAACAGCATCGCCTAAATATCTATACAAACATGTCTTGAACATTTCTACAAATCCCTCTGGCACTATCTCTTCAATTTGACATAGGTCTACAATTGGCAATACGATGTCTTCTAGAATACCTAAACCACACTCAGGCTGCATTTGGCTCGCAACCAATATAGGTAAATGAGTAAAGCTGTGGTCGCCCCATATTGACATGTTTGAAAAATTTTGTAAACTGTAATTGTGGCGTAAATCTTTAACTCTTTCTTCAAAGACCGCTGTAGCTTTTGGGTGATTCAAGATTTTGGTTTCTATTGCATTGTAATCAGCATTGTTTTCTCTAGTTACCTTGAGTTTGTCACACACAGAGTTAAATGTAAAATGATCATCACTAGCACTTAATAACACCATACTCCAAAGTGTTCTTTTAACTGCTGTCAATGTTTCTCTTACATTGTCACAACATTCCATAGAGAGATGACCAATCAAATTGTGTTGGGGAATAAAATAGTGAGGCAGATGTTTGCTTTTATAGCCGTCGATAAGCCAATCTAGAGTTTCCCTAATTAAATCCATGAGACTGTAATCTCTATATGGAAATGTTTCACACATCCACAAGCAGGCAGTCTTTATGAAATAGGAGCTAAATGGTGTTGGCTTATCAGAGTCACTGTATATTATGTACTTTTTCTTGATTGATTTCAGGGCAAACATGCATTTATTGTATGGTTCATACATTTCAATAACAAGCTGTTTCTCAGCTACGGAAAATGACAACCTCCATTCAACATCAAATGACTCGCTGCCTGGGTATCCAACAGGAACTACATGACATTCTAGACATTTGACCTTATCTAACAACTTCTGGGCTGGCCAGTTGTTCAGCCTCTTTCTAATAAAAAAAAAATCACTAATAAAAGGTGGCCATGATTGACATTTTAGGCAGTATACGCTGTCATGCTTGTTTATAACATCCACACATTTTGGTATTGCGTTAATTGATATTGAAGGACCTTGTCTCATTTCATCAGTATAGTTTAAATTCATGTAAGTTGCATGCAATTTTATGAAATCAGTGGCGTTCAAATATCCGTCTTTATCAATGATACTTTTGAAGTCCTTATCAAGACACCCTTTGTCTAGTACCTTTAGCCTCAAATACACAGGAGGTATATTTGAATCTTGCTCAGCCATTACAACTGCCTCTCTGTCTTTTTCCTGGGATTTCCACCATACTATTGGGAATGCTCCGTTATATATCATCATATCCTCATCATTCATGGCTGAATAAGGAATGCCTTCACTATTACTTCCAACAGTGTAAATTTGATGTGAGTAGCCTGCCTTTCTAAACGCTCTATTAATTAGTTCATCTGTAATCTTTATAAAACAGAAATGCTTTAATGTGTCATACATTTCCCCTGAGATGACTTCATTGGCAACTTCGTCCATTGCTTGACGCGTCTTATTGAGGCCTGGCTCCATGGTTTAATTTGACTTGCTTTTAAGACTTTAGAATTTGTACAATTTTTATTATGCAATCCACCTCAGCATATACTGTAGCAATAACTAACAGATAAATCTTGGAGTGCCAGTTTTTATCCAAGTACGCAGAATACAGTGGCTTCTTTATTATTCAAACAAAATCATAAAGGTGCATTAGCATAAAAATAGCATTTGTGAGTCCATGTCGCTGATTTTACATGGTCTGTGGTTATTAGGTTTGGCTTCAAGAAGTCACAGTATACTGAGGCAACAAAAAGAGAATCGGATTGTGATTCTATTGTTGTCTAGTCACAAAGTTCATGCTTTTCAATGCAAGTTATTCCCCATAGTGGATTTTCTTTCACAATAATATTTATTTGAAAAAGAATACTTTTGATATAGCAGCACCTACTATATGATGCATAGTATATGAGTGTTTCAAAACAGACAATCTAAAGCTGTATTTTAAATAAATTTTGATCAACCATAGTAAATTCAACACCTCAGGGTCTACCTGCTTTTTTGTACTTTTTAGTAGCATTGCTTCATTAACCCATTTTATAGGAATTTCACACAGGGGCGGCGCTTGGAATTCCCCTACGATTGATCCAAATGTGTATAAGAGACAGCCATAAAGAACAGATTTCACATAAATGTTAAAAGATTGAGAACTTTCTGAAACAGTACCATTCAGACCAAGATGTGTATAAGAGACAGATATATAATAATAATTTTACATATATATATATATATTTAATTATATATTTATTTAATTATATATATACACATATAATTTTGATTATAAATATAATAACAACTATAAACTAATTATTATATATTTATCGTCGCTATTTCCATGAACTGACAAATACAACGATCGCGATTGAAAAATTACTAATTTTTGATGCCAATTTCTGACCTGAAAAATTTGTTGCAGGTTTCTTTTTGTTTCTTTTACTTTTGTTTTGTTTACATTTACATCCATTAAAATAATTAAAAACATAAATTATGTGGTTTAAATTATTATAGAATTTACAATGAAAGTTATAATTTATAAGATTATTTTTTGAAACAGAATAAAATAGGTAACATTTTATTGGGAAAAAAAACAGATACATAGACGTATGTTGATTTAAAATGCTGAATCTTTATTAATGATATATATATATCTATTATATATATCTATAAATTGATCAACAAATATCTCAATTATCACACTATCATAAATAGACCTATTGAAGTATAATTGAAGTATTATTAATTATTTATGCATTATTCAAGCACCTTTATTATTATTATTATTATTTTATATGTTATTTATCAACCATAGTAATATTGAAAACATGAATTATGTGGATAAAATTACCACAGAAAATAAACTTATAATTTATAAGATTATATTTTAAAACAGAATAAAATAGATAACATCTTTATTTTAAAAAAAAAACAGGTTTTGCATAGACGCAAGTTGATATTTCATTTATTCATTTCATTTAATATTCAACGTAACCTCCAACAAGGAGAAGCAAAGAAATACAATCAAAACATTGCAATTGATATTATGCTTATTCATCTCAATAATCAAACTATCGTAAAAAGGTCAATTAAAGTATTATTATTGATCATTATAGTATCATTTGAGCACTATTAGTATTATTATTATTATTATTATTACTACTACTATTTTATTTATAATTTTTGTTGTATATTTTGTTTTATGTATAGCCTAGGCATATGTATATATTTCATAATTAGAAATAATAATAATTAATTGTAAAACATATATAAAATAATGTTAACAATAATATAGGCTAGCTAGGCTAGACCAAACCAATTATTGATACCATAATCTATCAATAAAAACATCCATTTGATTAATTAAACAATCTTTTTGAGTGGCAGTGCCGGTAGAAAACTGCAGTTTTTTGCACTACAGTGCCGACAGAAAATCGGAGCTTTTTTTGCATTGCGGCAATGCCTATAGAAAAATAACAGCTTTTTTTCGCACTCTGGCAGTGTCAATAGAAAACAGCAGCTTTTTCGCACTGCGGCAGTGCCGATAGCCACTACCGTAAATTTGATAGTTTCCAACAGACCATGTTTAATTATAAATTCAAGCATAGCACACAAAGATTTTAAATTTTGTCAGTCATTTTTCTAATAATGTGCCCTTTGTTTTCGGACTGTAGATGACCATCCATTAATTGTCCAGTTTGCTGCCAGCAATGCAAAGGATTTAGCTGACGCAACGGAAATCATCTCACCGTGAGTTGTTCAAATGACGTTGATAATAATTTATGTCTGTCATACGCATATACACCAGGTTTTACATACACATTTACATATATTTCTTAGATTACTATATTGCTTGTAATCATCATTATAGCTTAAGAATTCTATTAATTTTTCCATATTTTTAATTTTTCTTTTAACTGGTTCAACAGAGGTCATCATATTTATAGTAGTTTTCTAGTCAGCTGTAGTTTATTTTAAACATCAAGCTGTGTCCAAAATATCAAATTTTATTCGACAGAAAAATTGTTGCATGCCCATATATAGTCATGTTGTGATGTCATCATGACCATATATAGGCATGTCACATGTTGTTGTCAAATAAAATTTGATAGTCTGGACAGGGCTGAACTTTGTTGATTAATTTCAGATATGCAAATGGAGTTGATTTGAATTGTGGATGTCCTCAGAGGTAGGAATAATTACACTCAACTTGTCATTGTACTTCTAAATTGTTTCTCATAGTCATATGCATATGCTGGGGGTGGGAGAGAGGGTGTGTTGGTGCGAATACCCCCCCCCCACCCCACAGATGCTTCAATGCATCTTTTCTTTTGATTTGTTTACAGAACTGGGAATTCTAAGCACTTTCAAACTAAAATAAAATGTCTTGCGATAAATTTTATTTAGTATTGTTTATCTTATTTTCTCAATTTTCACACCCCAAGTTTTCTCAGTTTTTGCAAATCTGCCACCCCCT